GGAAAGACAAGAATAGAAAGAAAAAAAAGAGAAAAAAAGAGGAAGATAGAGATCAATATCAACACAAGAATATTTACTAACAACTAGAATTAAAAAATATTAACCAATGATCACCTCTACTGCCATAGACTTCAACCCTCATTCTGCAATGAATCACACATTCCTTTGCCCAAAATTGAATATATCTTGCTTGAATGGCATACATGAGGTAGTTTTTTGTACTACGATACTTGGATTTATATGCAGTCAAAGTCTGCAAAATAAAAASATAGTAAATATTTCAAGGAAGGAAAATGGAAGAACTGAGAAAAAGGTAATCTTTGGCAAAGAAAGAAAAGACAAAAAGCAAGCCAGGATACATGCAGAGTGCAGGAAGGGAGACTACAATCTACATTACCTCAGTTTTCCATTCGTCTCTGTAGTCAAACCAATACAACCTATCATTACTAAAAGAGAGTTTGAACTTTGTAACCTGACGGTGATCATGATGGGCATATGGTTGAGTTGCTACGGAAGTTACTTCAACTCTCTCACTACCCAAATCAATCTGTAGATAAGGGTTTTCACTTTTTACATTTGGTGCCCAACCTCGGTACTTTTCCTGATTTAATCTTCCTTTATGAGCTGGTTCATATGTTCTTTTAAAGTCTACACCTGAAGACTCCAGTATATTGTGATCATTGATGTGAAAGAACTCCATCCCCAGAGGGAGATCACATGCTAAAAGTACACACAACAATGTTACAAATATAATGAAACAAACTAAWAGTTCATGTGGATCAGATTGAATTTATTAGGAATGCCTGTTAGCAGGCTAATACTCCAATTCATAGCGAATAACCGCTGCTTTATTTGACAACAGATTCTCTTGCGCAAAGACTTACCAAAGACAAAAGAAAGCACGAGAAAATGTTGTTAATACAATAGAGCGCTAAGAATCTACATTTTCTCCGAGTTGAGGCTAACCCTGCTCATACCTTGGGTCTTATGGGAATACAGGCCGGGATAATCTCAACTCGGGGAAAATGCAAATTTTCAAGTCTATTGTAATAACGACATTTTCTCGTGCTCTCTTTTGTGTTTGTAAAGTTCTTTGCATAATAGAATCTGCTGTCAAGTAAAACAGCGGTTATTCGCTTTGAATTCGAAACTGGAGTATTCATTGATTGATTGATTGATTGAATGATCAGTTGTTGAAGTAGTCAAATGTGACTCAAGAAGATCATAATAATCACCTTTGCATCCATAAACCTCTACACGCATGCAAGTCCAGGTTTCCCATCGTGTTGGAATAAATCTTAGGTGACGTGTGACTAAATTCTTAATAAAATAATGTTTCTTAATACTGTGTGATGGTGCATTTCCAGCAAACACCTACAAAAAACAATAGATTTTTGTTATTATTTTTGTTCTTAAGTCCAAAGTACATGAAACATTTAACACTATTAGATAGTGCTATCTCAATAAAAGTAGAATRGAATATCAGCAAGTCATGTTGCACACTTTGAGTGAGTCACAATTTAGAAATTAGAACTCATTAATATAATTTGTTTATTAGAATTGTTTTAATGACTTTCTTTCTCTAAAATATGAGTTAGTTTTAAAATCCAAATAAAATCCAAAATTCCTGCAAACATCTGAGTCGTGTCTCCATTGCACTCTCCTCTTTCATTTTTTAAAAATACAAATTATAATTTAATTATAATAATAATTATAATTTATAATAATCATAATTTATAATAATTATAATTTTAATAATTTATTTAAAAATATTTTCTTTTATATTATGTTCTTCCCTTTGTTTTCATGTATTAATCTTTCTTTCATTTTTACACTGATTCACTCATTCCATTGTTGATCAGTAATTACCTCTTTTCCGTTTTCCTTGTARAATGTCCAGGTAAAGGTATCATTACTGTAGCTTATTTTGTATGCTGTCACCCATGCAGGTTCCTTGATGCCCCACCATGACCTTACATATTTACCCTGGGTAGCCACACCTGTTACTCGTGTCATGTGACCAAGRTCAACCTGAAGAAACTGGTTTCCATCGTTTGTCTTTGCACACCATGCTGTCTCTCCTCTTGTCTCGTACAGTCGACCAAGCCAGGGCTCATAGTCAACATCATACCAGGAAGAGGATGTCATTGAGGAGTCAGGGATGTGACCAATTGCAAAACCAAGTGGTTCCATACAATCTATGTGTGGTAAGATGTAGCTGTGATAAACTGATTGACTACAAATTACTGATAAACTATGGCTAATTATGGGCCTGGGAGTCTTACTCTCTCGTCATAAATGACTACACTCGACTGACTCACTAACTGCCTAACAAGATTTGTCACCTTGGCAACCAAAGAGCTCAACTCTCATGCAAGGTCCGCCACTCCATGTTTTTGGTTGAAATCTCACGTATCGTGCTTGTCGCACTTTATTCAGATTGGTGATTACAACTGTGCTTTGATCAGTATTGCCATTAACCTGTAAAATTTCAAGTGGAAAAGAAACAATTTAATGAAAAAGAAAAAGGAGACGGCAATAGAGGAACAAGAGATGTTGTTATACCTCTTTTAATCCAAAGTCTGACTTGTACAAATACCAATAAACATTATCCAGACTGTAATGAAATGCAAACTTGGTGACCCATTGTGCTATGCTTGGGTGTCCTTGAGTGGCTACTTTCTGAATTTTGTGAATTTTTCCAAGATCAATTTGAAGGAAATCT